ATTACAATGGTTCAAAACAGATATTAACACTTCAATATGTTGGTTTATTAACATTCAGTCAGTTAATGAAATACGGTATTTTATTGTGAATTTAAGTTAAGTCTGTAAAACCTAAAATGTTGCTACCATATTTTTTACGGTGACGTTCTGGCAACCACAGCTGCCGGCATTTTACCGTAAATGTCACAGATTTATTTTTTTTTTTTTACAGTGTACACATGGTTTCAAAAGTATCAATAGGTCAAACATAAACACTTTTAGACTCTACTGAAATGTTGTTCTTTAAATACTTTCAATGCATTTTTTCCCCCAAACCAGTTAAGCACAAAGCTTTCCGGACAGGAGACTGTGTGATTGAGCTGACCAATGAAATCAAGTTTGCAATGAACAAAAATCACATGCAATTTAGATTGTATTTGCAGAGCGAGTTTGGTTAGGTTTAGTAATGCAGTAATTCATGTTTCTGGCAGGTAAAAGAGCTAAAAACATCTCCGACTGAAGGCTTATGGGCTCTGATCGACTGCTTTGACACATTAGACAGTCGTTTGTGATAAATGTGATCACTGTGCTATTAATAATCAGTATCCATGGCAACAAAGATCCCAAATATAGCCGTGATCAATCACTTCAACCAGCTTTACTTCAGAGGAGAAACTTGCATTACGTCATCAAGTAAAGGTCATGTGATGTACTTGAGCTTTCTGTGGATTTAACAAATAAAAACCAGTCCAAAGACCCTCCTGCCCAAATTATCCAGTAATGCTTCGTTATTTAGGCTACACATTCATTCCTCCTTTAAACACACACTTGGAATTTATTATTTGAATAGTCTGGCATCTGTAATTTATTACAGTATATCACTATGATTTTAGTTCATAATATTTTAATAATCCTAAAATGTTACTTTTAAATACTATTTAACAATGATTCAAAGGAATCATCTCAAACTTCAAATGTTGTTGTCATGAGATTCAACAAAATGAATCATAGTAAATTCATCTGGAAAAAGAAATAGGAATTTTTAGTCCTACGTTGAATGTTTAATTTGTAGTTAAGATGTTAATGCATTAATTGTTGTATTTAATTTATTTAACTTTTGATAGTAATGAAGATTATTTCTGCCACAGGATGAAAAAAAAAAAGATTCTGAGAAAGAAAAATTCTGACTTTTTTTCTTGCAATTGTTAGAAAAGTCAGAACTGTGAGAAAAAAAGTTTGAAATGTTAGATAAAAAGTTGGATACCTTTTTTATTTTTTATTCTGTGGCAGGGGAAAAGAATTGCAAAACTAAAAATACAGAGGAAAAAAGTCCTAAGTGTGAGATAAAGTTGCATTGAATGTTTACCAATGCATTAAAACCATCTGGATTCATATGTAAACCACATCAACTTCATGCATTCACATCACTTCTGCAGATTTCAAACCTCAAATGCTGCTGTTATTAAATTCAATAAAATTAATTGGCACCACTTTATGATAAGCATTAATTAATATAAATATTAATAATATTAATAAGAATTATTATTTATACACTATGGTTAAAAAGTTGTGGTCACTGTTTTAAAGAAATCAATACTTTTATTCATCAAAGATGCATTAAATTGATCAAAAGTGACAGTTATGACTTTTAGAATGTTACAAAAGATTTCTATTTCAACTTGAACTTTCTATTCATCTGTGAATCCTGAAAAAATAAAATGTTTGGTATTTCCACAAAAATATTCGGCAGCACAGCTGTTTACAAAAATGAATAAAATACTCTAAAGGTGAGCTGGAAAGCTGAAATACATCAGAGTTGATCTCAGAAGTGTAAAAATTATTTTATTGCTATTTATTTATCTATTATTATTAATTTACAAAAAAAATAATCATTGGAATTTAGAATTTGAATAGTCTGGCATCTGTAATTTATTACAGTATATCATTATGATTTTAGTTAATATTTTAATAATCCTAAAATGTTACTTTTAAATACTATTTAACAATGATTCAAAGGGATCATCTCAAACTTCAAATGGCGTTGACATTAGATTCAACAAAATGAATCATAATAAATAAATCTGGGGAAAAAACAGGAATTTTTAGTCCTACGTTGAATGTTTAATTTGTAGTTAAGATGTTAATGCATTACTACAAAAATGTAGTCATTGCAATTTATTTTAATAGTTAATAGCATCACTTATTGGGATGGGTTCTAAATTTGCACAGTTGCTTTTTGTTTTATATTACTATTCCCAGAAAAAAATTCAATAAACAGTTAACAAAAAAACAAAAAACAAAAAAAAAGCGCTGATCTCAGAAGGATGCTTCAGCGTTTTCAGTCTGAGAAACTCACCGGATTCACAGAAGACCATCAGAAGCTCATTCAGACTCGAGATGCTGCAGACACACAGAGGAACATGGATCAACATCACGGCTTTCATCAAACAACCCTCACAACTACAATATCTGATCTACTGAACCATAAACCTTTCCTAAACAAAACAATGGCAAAACATGAAGAAAACGGCATTTACCTGAGGCTGATGGGCCGATCTGCTGTGTTTCTGTGGGTTCACACGCGTGCACAGATAAATCCACACAAACACACGTGTAAACAGGTCTTTATTATGAAACCGAGTCCCTTTACAGCAGGTCATGAATATGTGCATCTGATTACGATTCACATGTTTATCAAGACAGATTGAATGTTTACTAATGCATTAAAATCAACTTCACATGTATAACTTCATGCATTCAATGTTTAATTTGTAGTTAAGATGTTAATGCATTACTACAAAAATGTATTCATTGCGATTTATTTCACTAGTTAATAGCATCACTTATTTATTATATAACTACAAAATTTTAGTAAAACAATATTTTGATAATTATAAAATCTGACTTTTAAAGTACGCTTTAAAACGAATCAAAGGAATGATTTGTAGACGTGTTGTATGAATATAATGCATGAGTATTATATTCAGCCGTATGAAGAGGTCTCACAGCAGATGCAGTGATTTCTGATGATCTTTGAGAAGCTGATCCTCCAGCGCTGCGTATCTGAGCATCAGCGGCGCGTAAACCTGCAACCACATCAACAACACACCAATGAACAGCTCAAAACACACACAAGCTCTCAACACCTCCAGAACACTGCTTTTATTATCAGCTCTTTCAATATCACACAATTAAGGATCAAAGCATCTGCATTTTCACCTGCTCATTTACATGACATAAAGGTCAAGGGTCAGACTGCTGCTGTGTAATGCGGTTTTGTACTGTATTAGGTTTGTCATGTGTCAGGAGGGAGTTTATTTCCACCATGTGCTGACGTATCGTCCAGTGTGTGACTTACAAACTCACAATGTGTCTGGATGTGTGTGTGTCACATGACAGAGACATAGAGTGATTCACACTGAAAGACAAGACAAGACAATGAATGAATGAATGAATGAATGGTAACAAACTTGTGTGGTGTCTGCTTTTATCAATTGGTGGCAAATATAATGGGGGGAAAAACAATGATTAATAAACAATTTCATTTATTTTTATAATTTTATTATAACAATTATTGCTATTATTATTGGCATACATCACAAAAAAAGCAAAAAATCTCCTGAAAAATAATTTATTTTCCAATCGCAAGTTTTAAATTTTAAAGCACCATATAAATCCTTCGAGATGATTGTGTTGTAAATCCACAGCACTGGGTGAGATGCGTCAGAAAGAAAGAGTAATTCATTCCTATCTAGCTTTATTTTTATTCTAGTTTTAGTAATTTTAGCAAAATATTGTTTCTACAAGTATTCTGTAAGACTATGCTGTTATATAAATAAAATGGAAAAAAAAGAGCTGTGAATGTTATTTCATGTTGACTCTAAAATGTCATCGAGTCGCTCCATCTAAACATTAGTAGAATTTCCTGTAATGCACTACAATGCAAACAGAAGAAAAGAGAGCTCTTCTGAAAGGGAATGAGACACAGAAAGGACATTAGGATAACGAGATGTAATCAGAGGCTGGTTGAATGTGCAGCTGGAGGTCAGAGCCAGTCAGTGTGTGCTTATAATATACCAGTGGCCTGCGTATGACACACAGTCATATCACTAATTTATACAGCACAAGTCAGCGGTACACACTACACCGCCTGGCCTCAGCGGCTCATTGACATGAATGAATCCCGCTAAATAATGCAACTCTACATCACAGACTGTGTTGATGCCTCTGTGAATGCATGAGTTTCCAGGTGTTTCAGACAGAACAGCCTTAAATTCCCTTCAGACGCTCTGGAAGATTTCAGCAAATCAGAATTATGAGATAAAAAGTCCCAATTACGACAATTATGACATCAAAAGTAATAATTATGACATAAGTCATAATTATGAGATGAATTGAAATTATGACACCAAGTCATAATTTTAACAAAAATTCATAATTATATTGCTGTATGACACATGGAAATTATGACAGTCATAATGAGACAAAAAGTCATAATTATGACATAAGTTATAATTATGAGATTAAAAGTTATAATTAACAAATCATAATTATGAGGAAAAGTCAAAATATGACATCTAAGTTATAATTATGAGATCAATCGAAATTATGACATTGAGTTATAATTTTAACATAAGTCATAATTATGAGATTAAAATGTCATTACTATGACATGAAAAAAATATGAAATACTGAGTCATAATTATGAGATAGTCACAATTACAACATAAGTCACAATGATGGCTAAGTCATAATGAGACAAAATAAATCATAATTATGAGATAAAAAGCCAAAATTATGACATTCAATTATGACATACCAAGTCATAATTATAAAATGAAATTATGACAGTCATCAAGTCATAATTTTAACAAAAATGCATAATTATATTGCTGTATGGCACATGGAAATTATGACAGTCATAATGAGACAAAGTCATAATTATGAGGAAAAGTATAAAAAAAAATGACATAAGTTATAATTATGAAATCAATCGAAACATCATTGTGACTTATGTTGTAATTGTGACTTTATCTCATAATTATGACTCATAATTTTAACATAATTCATAATTATGAGATTAAAAGGTCATTACTATGACATGAAAAAAATATGAAATACTGAGTCATAATTATGAGATAGTCACAATTACAACATAAGTCACAATGATGGCTAAGTCATAATGAGACAAAATAAATCATAATTATGAGATAAAAAGCCAAAATTATGACATTCAATTATGACATACCAAGTCATAATTATAAAATGAAATTATGACAGTCATCAAGTCATAATTTTAACAAAAATGCATAATTATATTGCTGTATGGCACATGGAAATTATGACAGTCATAATGAGACAAAGTCATAATTATGAGGAAAAGTATAAAAAAAATGACATAAGTTATAATTATGAAATCAATCGAAATTATGACATTGAGTTAGTATTTCATATTTTTTTCATGTCATAGTAATGACCTTTTAATCTCATAATTATGAATTATGTTAAAATTATGAGTCATAATTATGAGATAAAGTCACAATTACAACATAAGTCACAATGATGGCTAAGTCATAATGAGACAAATAAATCATAATTATGAGATAAAAAGCCAAAATTATGACATTCAATTATGACATACCAAGTCATAATTATTAAATGAAATTATGACAGTCATCAAATCATAATTTTAACAAAAAGGTAATTATGAGATAAAAAGTCACAATTATAACATACTAAGTCATAAATATGACATAAAAAGATTATGACAGTAAGTAAATGAATAAAAAGTCAATTATGAGTTAAAACATAAGTCATAATTGTGGGGTAAAAAGTCAAAATGATGACATCTAAGTCTTAATTATGAGATAAACAGTCAAAATTGTTATGTAAAAGGTAGAAAATAGCAGCATAAAAGATTTCGACATTTTACGATGTCACAATTTCAACTTTTTATATCCTAATTATGCCCAAGTATGTCATAATTCTGAGTGTTTATCTCATAGTTTTGACTTACTCATAACTATGGTTCACCAAAGCATGATGTTTTTTCTGATGTGTTGTTAATGGGCTTCCATGCATTTCACATGCAAAAGCGACTAACTGATGCGTGTTGGACGAGAAATTTATAGAGGCACATTAATGCAACAGTTTATCGAAAAATGATCATATTGTCATCATTTACTCATGCCATATGACTTTCTTTCTTCTGTGGAAAACATGTCAAGCTCCAGATCATCTGAGCCTCAGAGCCTCTAATACAAACTACATCTTCAACATTCAGATCAACCGGATCATAATGCTTCGTGTTGAGCTGTCAAAGCCAAACTCATGCATAATAATGAGGTTCACAGAGCATGATGGGAAATTTCCTTCAGTTTGCCTTTAGCTAAATAGAGCTGTCAGTCTTTCAGCTGTGATCGGGAAGATAGTTAAAATGCTCCTGACAGGTAAACTGGACCGCCAGAAAAACAAGACGTAATATAAACGGTTCATTATAACAAATCATACTTGTATTTGACATATTAATTTTCCAGAAACAAAAAGAAATAAAAATTTCCATAGAAGAGTTCATTGCACTATGCAAAATACTCTAACTTCCAGAACTTAAAACTTCCTCCACAGCTGGGTTTGTGAATTGAAAAGCCAAAATAAATCATAAAAAAATTTAAAAATATATGATAAAGCATTTTAAAACATTCAAAATATCCCCACCCCCAAAGGGATAAAATATTCTATTTATATATATTTTTATTTATTTAAATATAATGATAATGTAATGACTAAATGATAATTATTATAAAATTACTTAAATATAAGTTTATTAAAATAAAGAAAGAAATGCATTTAAATAAATAACATTTTAAATGCAAACTAATTAAATTAAATGCATTTAAAAATAAATCATATGCATTTTTAAAAAATAATTTAAATGCACTTAAAAATAAATGTTTAAATAAATTCAAATAGAAATAAATAAATATATTCAAATGCATATAAATAAATGTAAATGCAATTAAATATATTCATTCATTCATTCATTTAAATACAAATAAAACGAACAACCAAAAAACAGTTTCCGCAAAAATAAGAAATGACTAATAGCATGTATATGTGCAATGTTGCCTTTCGAGAAATGAGGCAGTGCACAACAGCACACTGGGGTTAATACTGGGGTCTAATGCATAATATACAGTAAGGAGGAAAGAAAATCATTTCGCTTGCATAAAATAAGTGCACACTAATTTCTGTCTGACATGAGGTGAAAAAGTGTTAATATTGTCAAAACCATATAATATTGCTACGTCTGACCTCGGCCATTCAGGATCAGGTACACATGATATAAATGCATCAGTCTCATATTATTCTGTGTCAGGTGAGGCTGCATTACTCTCATCCTGCAGGTTCATGGGGTCTGACTGTGTTTGTAAAGCTTCCACTCAATGAAAGAGGCTTTGTCTAAATCCAGCGGCATTCAGCTCATCCCCTGCGCGTGTAATTTCCCTCACAATGCGTCTCTGCGGAGGGGATGAAGCGTTTAATGAAGACGCACTGACTCATGAAGCGGGTCAGAGATCAGCGGAGAGACACGATCATGTGCAGCGTTCAGAAGATCAGAGCGACCGAGATCTGCGGTTTCACTACTGAACGCCATCAGTCAGACATATGAAGCTTATATTTCTAGTCAACAGTAAGTTACTACATCCAACACTCATTCAACATCTACATGGATTTATCCAAAACACAAAACCGGTCTGAACTGAATCGTGATCTGAAGGCTCATGATCCCGATCTTGAGTTGAGGACTAATGAATATTAATACTGTTTAATGACAAATTATTTTTCATGTTATGAAATAGAGCTGCTCAGACAAATAAAATAAAATAAAATAATCAGCTTTTGTCCTTTTTAGAGATTTTAAATCACATTCTAATTTTCATGTTATGGAATAGAGCAGCTCAGACAAATTAAAAAATAAAATAATAATAAAATAAAAAAATAAAATAAAATAACAAAATAAAAATGTATCTGATTTTGTCCTTTTTAGAGATTTTAAATCACATTCTATTTTTCATGTTATGAAATAGAGCAGCTCAGACAAATAAAATAAAATATTTATCAACTTTTTAAAAAATGAATACATTTCAACTTTTTTAACAATTTGTAACAATTTTCCTTTTTAGAGATTTTCACCATAAATCACAATTAATATTAATAAAATAATTAAATAAAACAAAATAAATAAATGCATCAACTTGTGGCACTTTTTTGTCTTTTTTTGTTTAGATTTTCACTATAAATCACAATGCAAATGACATTTTATGGAAAAGAGCAGCTCAGACAAATAAAAATAAAATATTAGTATCGTTTAATGACATTGCAAATTATATTTTGGCTCTGAATAACTATGTTTCACTATGAATCACGACTACAATAAACGGAACTAAAACACATGAAAACACACTACGTAATGAAACTCCTGATGAACTGCAATATGTTCCTACATAAAAAGGAATGTCAGTGATGAAATCAAGGAATCACTTAATCATTTTGTAATCGATTCTTTGAAATGAACCTGTAAAAGAAAGTGACTCACAGACATCAGTACATCACAATTTACTTTGCGAAGGATTTATCTTTGATGTTATGCACAGTAACATCACCAGCGTGAGACGGAGTTTTGTGTTTCGTGATTTAAAGAGGAATATGAATTGTGATATTGTGTATCTGTACCTCTTGCGCTCCCGGCGCGGGTCTGACGGCCAGCTGCGGTTCTGGAGCGTTTCTGAGCATCTCTGTGAAAGATGCTCCTGCTTCTGCCTCCAGACCTGCACAAACACACATTCAGTCATACAGCGTCACTGAAGAAACACAGAACCAGTTCAGTTCAGGAGCACAGCTCCGCTACACTCTTACAAATAAAGCTGCTTCACAGTGAGGCCACAGAAGAACCTTTTTGTCTGAATGGTTCCATAAAGAACCTTTAACATCTGAAGAACCTTTCTGTTTCACTAAAGCTTCTTTGTGGCGAAAGAAGGTCGTTCAGATTATAAGAAGGTAAGAAAGAGATGGTTCTTTAAAGAACCTTTGGTTCTGTGGAACCAAAAATGGTTCTATGGCATCTCTGTGAAGCACCTTTTAAGCACCTTTATTTTTAAGAGTGTACATATTACAAACATCTGTGTTTCATAAAGAGTTTAAGGGATAATATAAATTAAAATTCTGTCATCATGGACTCACTCTCATGCCAAATGCCATGTTTTTCAGTGCGTCAGTTCACTTTTGTTGTACTTTTATGGTGCTTATTTTGTCCTTTTTAGAGAATTTAACTATAAATCGCAATCAAAGTTTCATTTTATGGAATAGAGCAGCTCAGACAAAATGAATCAATCTTCTTTTTTGTGTTCTTCTTCGAGCTTTTAATTATAAATCCCAATCGAAATTCCATTTATAGAATAGAGCAGCTTAGATGAATAAAATAAATGTAAAAATAAAATAAAATTATAGAAAATATAACTATAAGTATATATAGTTTTTAACTATAAATCCCAATCATTTTATAGAACAGATCAGGTCTGACAAATACAATTATTTAGATAAATAAGAAATTATTTAAATGAATAAATACATTCATTAGTTGAATTTTAACTATAAAAAGTACTTATAAAAAAGAGCAGCTTAGACCAAAATAAATAAATAAATAAAACCTTTATGGTGTTTTTTTTTTTTTTTTTTTTTTTAGAGCTTTTAACAATAAATCCCCATGTAATTTTTAATTCACACGAAGAAGTGTTAATGAAGAAAGTCATACAAATTTTTAGCACCAGCTCATTAAAAAAAAATGTTGACTGGAGAAATCCATAATTCTCTGACCTTTATAAATCCAGATGTCTCATTAAGAATATCTTCTACTTCTCCACTGGGAACTTTGATTTCAAAGAAATGCACTTTATATCTGAAACCAAAGTACTTGATGAACCCAAAGACCGCATGTGATGCATTGGTTTCTTCCACTAACGCTCATAACGTAGATAACAACGTTCAAAAACTGGGTCTAACACACAGTTTTGGTGTGACGATGATCAGCACTGATCGATGATTTAAAACTCTTCTTCTGAGAAGTTTAATTAGCATTTAAAACAGGTAAAAATCAAGGTTCAGACCAGCAGTGATCTGATGGCTCATCTTCTACACAATCTTCAGATGAACATTATAGCAGTGAAAAGCAGCAGAATAATGAAAGCCTTATCGAACCCAGAAACTGAAATAAAAGCGATTTCTTCTGAGAGGATGCAATGAAAAGCGCCGGCCGACCGCATGACGTCATGTGAGATCCGAGGCCTTATTAAATCATAGAACCGATTTCAAAATCAGGTGAATAAAGGCCTTATAAAACACGCTCTGCCAGAGGACCAGAAGAGAAGAGATGTGCATCTGAATTTCATATATCATAGATTTCTGAATCCTGACAGATACAGGACTGGCAGGAGTGATTAAGCATCAAATACAACATAATAATGTGACATAATATGGATTATGCACCTTTTTATTTTTAAAATTTTATATATCAAAAATAATATAATTAATTTATTGTGTGTGTGTGTGTGTGTGTGTGTGTGAGGGAGAGTGCGTGTGTGAGTGAGAGTGCGTGTGAGTGTGTGAGTGCGTGAGTGTGTGTGAGTGTGTGTGAGAGTGAGTGTGTGAGTGTGTGTGAGAGTGAGTGAGTGAGTGAGTGAGTGAGTGAGTG